GTATTTGGAGGCTATGGTGAATATAAAACGATTCAGTGGATTTGGCAACATATACTATAAAAGATTAGGAGGAATAAGTGAAGAGGAGTGAAATAAGTAGTACTATGTCCTTGACCTAATATTATTATCATAACTATATTTATGAAAGAAAAAAGAAATAGCACGATGACTAAACGACATTTTTATTATCATTCAAGTTGAACTTTAAAGATTATAAAGAAAGCAAATTTATCTGCTATTTTGTTATTCACAATAATAAAAATTATCAAAGAAACATGGGTTAGTTTTCTTTTTCACTTTTTTAAATTTATTTTAATTCAATTAAGTTATTTCTAAAATGATAAAAGTCTTACCAAAAATATGTTGCTTACTTATTATTGCTAAAATAAGTCAAATTTGTATACTGTAATCACGTGGGTTGATGCCGCCAGCTAGAATGTTTGAGAAGGTTATTGAAATTCACCAAACAAATACAGAGAAGTCGCAGCATTAGACAAGATCCACTCGTCACGTTTCCTAATCTATGCTTAAATCAAATCAAAGAGAAATCGTCTTTTAGTACATGAGAAACAAACTAGTCACGTTTCCTAATCTATACTTAAATCAAATCAAAGAGAAACAAATTATTTTTAACCATGTAGATTTTAAATTAAAAAATAATAAATTTTCATTTTATTTCATTTTCTAATATTGGAGACTAGATATTTTAGTACGAAGAGGATTTCATCCTAAAATAAACAAGCATCCTTTAGTACCTTGGAGGAAAGGTCTATTTTTTGCTTTTCAAAATGTCATTTAAATATATAATGATATAAATGTTATTATATTTTGGTTTTTCTTTAGTTATTTTACAACATTTCATTAGATCTTTAGAATGACCAAAAGTCAAAAGTTTGATTTCTGAAAGCGATACTTATTGGGATGGACAACCATACTCTCCTAAAAAATAATTCATTACTCAAAGGAGTAAGAGATATTATTAATAGTATAAAAAAATATAGGCTATTGCCCAAACTTTATTATCGTTTTTTACCCTCCTAACTATATAATACTTCTTAATTTTCATACTATACTAGGAGTTAGATTTTCTAAATTTTCACTTATTAGCATATCAAGATTTTTGTATAGGCCTTTGTTTCCCTCAATCATTGTACCATATAGAAGCTACCTTCTGTATAATATTATACTCCATCACTTCAATCCATAGATTTTGAAACTTTTCAGCATAACACAATCATGATTACTCAGATCACCAAAACAAAGCTAGTAACATTCTTACTCAGCACCCTTATGCTCACAACCTCAGCCTCTGTATTCAACAACGTAACCTGCATAAGCAACAAAACCTTCACTCAAAACAGCACCTTTCATCTCAACCTCAACACCCTTCTCTCTAATCTTTCCTCAATTGTCCTCAATGGCAACAACATTAAATTCTTCAAAAGTTCCTCAGGTGAAAATAATCATTCAAACACTGTCTATGGCCTCTTCATGTGCCGTGGAGATGTGCCATTCCCACTATGCAGAGAATGTGTTGGTTTTGCAACACAAACTATAGCATCATCTTGTATAGATTCAAAAGAAGCTATTATTTGGTACAATGAATGTTTATTACGTTATTCTTATAGGTTTTTCTTTTCCATTATGGAAGAATGGCCTAGGCACCAGATAAATATACCACTAGGGGACCCTGTGATATTGCATAGTAATCAATTCTACACTGCTTTAAGATCTATTTTTAGTGAACTTCCAAATGAAGCAGCACTTTCTCTTAAAGGATCTTCTTCTTCTTCTCAACAATTTGCTGTGAAGCAAGCTAATGCATCTGCTACCACAACCCTATATGGTTTTGCTCAGTGCACGCCAGACTTGTCCACCACCAACTGCAGGCGCTGTGTCACGGATGCCACCGCGGAATTTTCGATGTCTTGTTGTGGAGGTAGCATAGGGGGAAGTGTTCTGTTTCCTAGTTGCACTGTTAGGTATGAAACATATCCATTCTATCAGCATTCAGGAACATCACTGGCAACAATTATCAATGGTCAGTTCAATTTTTTTGGTGCAGCTGATAAAATTGATGCAAATTCTTCTATTAGTCTAGATGTGCATATGCAGAGGAGGATTGAAGGAAAATAACATAACCACCAAACTAAAAAAATATCATTGAAGCCTTCTATAACTTTAAAGCATAAAAATTAGGACTTTCTTTCTAAATATCTAGAAAGGGTAAAAAATATCTAGGAAGTTTAAGGAGATAGGACCAAGATAGGGATGAATTATATGTTTGAAACCTACCTTCAACCTAAGTGTACTGAAATCTACCTCTAATCCATCTGAAATTGTTCAATATTATTGATAAAGTTAGTCTCACTTATCTAATCATGTTATTCACAGCTTAAAGTTCAATACTTCCATCTCTAAGAGTAATAGTTACATATTAGTAACTACATATGTTAACTACATGTGTTTCCTCTCATATGTGCTATGTGATTATGATTTATGAGCTCATTTTCTCAATCTCATGTTAATATGACAATGTTTTGGCAGGAGGAAGAAATAAAACAAAAGTGATTGAGATCATTGTTATCTTGGGTGCCATTTTGGTGATTCTTTTTGGCGTTGGCCATTCTTTCTTGCGGATAAAAGCGAGAAAGAGGCGTAAACGCAAGGACATTCTCAGAGAAAACTGTAGTGCCAATGAACCCCATTTTCTTTAGTCTTTAATTGTTGGAACTTGATAAAAAAGACTAAAGTTTTTTCCTTGTTCTGTTGAACTGTGATCATGTAGGTGAGCTTGGGCTTGAAATTACTAGCTTGGAGTCCTTGGAATTTGATTTAGCTACAATTGAAGTAGCAACAAACAAGTTTTCTGATGAGAGGAGGATAGGTAAAGGTGGATACGGACAAGTCTACAAGGTGAGTGATACTGATAAATGTGATAACTGATAAGTAATGTATCACTCATTCTACTTTACTTGTGCTTCTTCTCTAATGGCTATTAATCTTAGGGAATTCTTCGGGGCGGAGAAGAGATAGCAGTGAAGAGACTCTCAAAAAATTCAGGGCAAGGAGGGGAGGAATTCAAAAATGAAGTGTTGTTAATAGCTAAACTTCAACATAGAAATTTGGTGAGATTAATAGGATTTTGCCAAGAACAAGATGAGAAAATACTTATCTACGAATATGTGCCTAACAAGAGTCTTGATCACTTCCTATTTGGTAAGTAAGGCACTTGAATGTTATGTCTATTGTATAGTTTTGAAGTGTTACATTATTCCAAAAATTCTCAATTTTTTTCCTTATCTACTTACTGATATATTTCTTGCTTGCAAATTTATAGATTCCTTGAAGGAAAGACAATTAAGTTGGCCTGAGAGGTATAAAATCATAAAGGGAATTGCTAGAGGAATCCTATATTTGCATGAAGATTCCCGCCTCATGATTATACATCGTGATCTCAAACCAAGCAATGTTTTGATAGATATTAACATGAATCCCAAAATCTCTGATTTTGGCATGGCCAGGATGGTAGTAATCGACCAAATACAAGGAGCTACCAATAGAGTTGTTGGCACATTGTGAGTTTTAAGCACTTATTCTTAATACTATATGTGAACACTGCTTATTATGCCTCTGCTTCAATTTTTGGGCTGAACTGTCTCAACTCTCTCTTGCACAGTGGATATATGTCTCCAGAGTATGCAATGCATGGACAATTTTCAGTGAAGTCTGATGTTTTCAGTTTTGGAGTCATGGTTCTTGAGATAATAAGTGGAAAGAAGAATTCTTGTTCTTTCGATTCACGTCGCGTTGATGACCTCTTGACTTATGTGAGTATAAAATTCATTTTATGAGACATTCATTATAACTGACCGATCGATATAGTAGGTAGAGTAAGAATTACGTAACAATGAACCATACAGAGGGGAGATTATATCTAATTTATTATTTCAGGCTTGGAATAAATGGAAGGATGAAATGCTATTACAATTGGTGGACCCAATTTTGCAAGAATCTTACACTCAAAATGAAGTTGAAAGGTGTGTCCAGATTGGTTTATTGTGTGTTCAAGAGCATCCAGATGATAGGCCAACAATGGGAATGGTTGCTTCATATCTAAACAATGATTCAGTTGAAATGCCAATTCCATTTGAACCAGCATTTTTCATGTATGGTAGAAGGAGAAGATATGGAGTTGAACATGAATCATCTTCAGGTCAAAACACCAATTATTCTTTATCCTGTTCTGTAAATGAGATATCTACCACTTATGTCTTCGCTCGTTAGTCTTGTTTTATTTATTTTTTATCGGCAAATATTAGTATGTTAGTATTATTAGTATTTTGTGGTTAAGGCTTGTAGTTTTTTTTGGTAGAGGGGTTATTACTACTTTTGCTGGTACAACACACTTTATCCAAAGTTAATATTAACATATAAAAGATTTTTTATGTAATATTGTTGTTATTATTAGTAAACTTAACTGTGGTACAACTGAGAATAAAAAAGTTTATGCACCAATAAACATGTGTGAGAATGCATCATGTATATGACACTGTATTGCAATCAATGTTTAGAAAATACAATGGATGATGATTTGACACTGACAGTGACAAGGCATGATAAGTCAAACTTTTGAAAAAATATTGGTTTATATTTAAAATTTCAAAGTCAGAGAAATCGATTAATGAATAGGGAAGACATTATCACTCCTGAAAAAATACATGTTAGCATATCTCACTAACCAAGCATCATTCATAAAATTAAAAGTGTGATTAGTTAATAAGAGTTTTAACTTTTAAGCATACAATGTGAAGTACATATATCAATACCCTCACCTTATGTAAGTTGTACATTTTTTCCTATAAAAATAGCAGTATTCATAATAGAAGATAATTATTTATTTATATTAATTAGGGACATGTATCGTTTTTTTCACATTAGATGCATACTTGTTTAATTGTTTATGTTATAATAATTGCAGACTTTACACTAAAAAGATATTGGAAGGAATTGGTGGGCTAAATACAGATGGGGTCAAATGTGGCTTGCAACAAGTTGGAAAATGAAATTTATACATAAAGACTTCAACTTTTGCCTGGATATGCATTATACTTTGATGTGAGTATGATCCCACAGATTTGATTTATGAAATAAATTCACTCCCAGAAATGCAAATCGTTTTGATTTTGAGATCCCAGTATTAGTTCTAAAACACTGTTTCAACAGCTCTATAATGTGTTGAATAGTTGTAGAAAGATAAGGATGTTACAATTGTGCAGCTTAAATAAATTATATCTTACATTGGAATAAGAATATAATCAAGTCACTAATTATAAGATTTAGAAAACCTCACCCTATAAGTTAACTTTTGGGATTCAGCTAGCCATTCTGATAAGCTTCAAAATAGAAATCTTGTAGGGTCACTTAGATTGTGCTTTGATGAAGTAGAAAATATGGTGATCTATGAATTTGTACCAACAAAAGCTTGGACCATTTTCTGTTTGGAATATTATTTTTTGCAAAATATATGTATTATGATGCAGCTTATTTAGCAATGAAAATTTCTTTGTTGAACCATCAGAAAAAAGTTATTTTTGAATTGAATTAGTATACAATTCCTTGTATTTGGCTTAATATTTATTTATTGATAACTAACAGAGCCTCTGACAGGAAATTACTGACATGGTGAAAATGTTACAAGAATATTGAAGGAGTTGCACTAGGAATCCTTTATCTTCATAAAGATTCCAGGGTCAGAAGAATATACCATGATCTAAAGGATAGTAATATGTTGGTATGGTGGAATTTAAATCCTACAGTTTCTGATTTTGATATGGCCAAAGATTTTTGGAGTTGATTATGCTCAAACAAACACAAATAAAGTAGTAGTTGGAGGTTGGAATCTAGTGAGCACTAAGTTGTTGAGTTCAATTTTTATGGAGTCAGTTTTTCCATACCAACTTCTGAATGAGGGCCTAAAATAAACTGAAAAGGAAGTGGCTAAGAGCCATAATTAAAAATGATATTTTTTTTGACTTGTGACAATCGGAAAGAAGTTGAACTTTGACTCTAATATTATATTAAGGAGTAGTCCAGTGAATATTTAAATCATTGGATAAATGATGTAAACGATGTAAGTCTAAATAATAAAACATTTGAGTTTTTCCGTAAATATGAAGGAACAAAAAGGGCTTAATAGATAATAACAAAGTTTCATTAGCTTGCTTCATTGACTTGCTTTTTCATCTATCTATAAGATGAGATATAGACTCTATATTTTATTGGCTATGCCAAAGAAAATTTTATAGACTCTATATTCTCAAACGATCAAACAATTATAATTTTTTTAGTGTGATGTAATTATTAATTCTCTAAAATTTTATATTTATTGAAAAAATATTTTCTCATTATGAAAAGAATGCACACAACAATTGTATAAGAATTTTCTATATTTTCAATACATTATCTACCGTAAATATTAAATAATTATTAATTTATAAGTATTCGTAATACAAATGAATGTTGAAAGATATATTGTTTATACTTCTTAGTCATTAGTATTTTTTTAATATTTTATTATCTTTAGAATTGATCAGGCAGTGCAATTCTTTACACTAGGCAAACCAAATCGAAAAACTTTGGCATGTTATTTTCAGTAGAGAAAATAGTCTCCACATTCATTAGCTTTTAAATTGTGAATGCATCCTCTATTATTTATTTATTAATACTCACTAAATCCTTAATAATAAATACACTGAGTGATGTATAATGATATTAAAAAGTGCATAAATGTTAAACTATTTCTGCGTTCCTTCCTGTATTATGAGAAGTTTCTATGAGCACTAGGAACATGGAAGGCTCCTTATCTTTTCCTTAAACAAGATACTATTACCATCTTTACAAATGACACATCACACATGCAACCTTCTTTCTGGGCAATTCCTTCTTAGTCAATTCCATAAGGAACTAGGATTGTCACCAAATTAATCACATTTCATCAAATAATATAAAAAATTATTTTTTATTTTAATGATTTTTTTAATAGGTGGTCCGACATCAACCGACCCAAATCGCTTGCATTTATTATAATATTGATGTAGTTGTAGTTTAAATATTTATACATAATTATTATATCAACCATTATGATTACTTTTATTAAAAAATCAATGATAATAAAATATAAATTATGGAAAATACGTTAACGGTGGATAAAACTCAACTTTTTTATTTTGTTTTTACTATTAATTGTAATATGTAACTTCAGTTCCGTTATCTAAATGTTGACAAGTATGAGTGGAATTGGAAATAAAGAGCAAATTTTTTACATAAAATAACTAAATGTAAAAGTAGTCAAAATTTTAATAATGGCTAGTTTGGAGAAAAAAATTAAATATTTTATTAAAAATATAAAATGTCTTATAAAGAGAATCAAAGTTATATCAGATGATAAGCACCATCTACATTATTAAATTGGATATTTAAAAGTAAGTGTAATAAGAGTGTAATATTTATGCACAATATAAAATTTTATATACAATTATTATATTATTTATCATTCATTTATATTACTTTCATTTTAAAATGATAATGTAAAAAACTCATATAAGTGGTGATAACCTCTACAAATTACTAGCCGTGTTTAAATATTGCAAAAATCATGAATGTGTGTGACCAACCGAAACTGTAGGCAGAGACTTTGATTAGTATGAAGTTTGCATTGTAGGACCTTTTCCACACCCATTCTTCCCAGTACTTGTCTCATGAAGTCAAGTATACGATTGATTTTTGTTGTGATTGTTTATGCGATTTACACCATCAAAATCGATTTTGCTTATAAGAAATCTAGACTTGTTTGCTATCAACCACTTCAGCAAGATTTGCCCTACAAATTAACCGGTTGGGGAATTGCTTTTCGTTTATCACTGAATATTGGATGTTACAAATTTAAAATCAATTTTAATCAAAATTAACCAGTAACATAATATTATGTTAGAATGTCTTATATTTTGGTAATGGATTGATCCAAATATAACTCAAACTTAGAATTTGGAGCGCACAAAATTATATTTTAATGACAACTACACTTGTTTAATTTCTACTTTGCAAATTTGACAAAATTTGTTAATTCTTGAGTTAGTATATATTTTGTTATTAAGATTACAAGTAATCTAAACAGCTCTTTCTCATAAATAATACTTCAATATTATGGACAAGTATTGTCTCAAAAATATGTCATAATCTAATAATAATAAAGAAAAACATAAAAAACTAAGATTATTTAATTTTCTTAATTGACTAATTTTCATATACATATACTTTGTAACAACAGAACATATTATTGGATAGTTCTATTTTGGCAAGATATAATCTGCTTATTTCCCAAGACATAATTTTTTGGTTTAATAAAAGCATGGGACCAATAAAATAAACTAAGGTTAGGATGCGGTTACTTTAGGAGTAAGTTTTCTAAATTTACTTCACATCTATCAATTATATGAAGATCTAATGGTTTAAACTTAACCACTAATTCAAAATATTGGATTTCCCTAGAATTGATGGCTAAGATGTGAAGTAAGTTTAAAAAACTTACTCCTAGAGTCGGTCGATTCCTCTTCTTTAAATTAACATACTTTTTTTTTGTTATAAAAGCTGGGAACTTGCGATAAGCCAAATCACTTAAAATCCTTCTCCAATACTATAGGTCTAAACCTTCAATAATCTGATTATTACATCTTATTCCCTATGAAGCCAATCAAAAAGACTATTACATCCAAACTCCTATCATTTCTTTGTTGTCTCCTCATATTCAATTTCATTACTCAATCCTGCGCTCAACCAAATTCTGTTCATCACTTCTGTGAAAATAACAGTACCTACACAACCAATAGCACCTACCACACAAACCTCAACACCCTTTTGTTCAATCTCACTTCCAACACTGAAACCAACAACTACGGTTTCTATAATCTCTCATATGGCCAAGACATTAACAAAGTATATGCAATTGGGTTATGTAGAGGAGATATTGAAGCAGATATGTGCCACATTTGCCTCAACAACGCGAGAATCAATCTCATACAGCTTTGTCCAAATGATAAAGGAGCAATTGGTTGGTATGATGATGAGAAATGCATGTTACGTTACTCAGATCGCTTAATATTTGGCCATGTTGAAACTGGACCTGCGTATTATGTATGGAACTTAAACAATGCAAGTGATTCAGTTCAGTTCAATAAAGATGTTACAAACTTGCTTGATAACCTTAAAACAAAAGCTGCATCAGGTGACTCTTACCTTAAAGTGCAAGTGGTCCTAGAAATCAAACCATATATGGTCTTGTGCAGTGTACACCAGACTTGACTATGTCACAGTGTTCTTTTTGCTTGAATGAGTCTATATCAGTAATTCCAAGTTGTTGTAACAATAGGAAAGGAGCTAGAATTGTTAGACCCAGTTGTAATTTGAGATATGAAACCGATTTCCTTTTCTCTGAAGAAGCTATAGCATATGCACCATCACCACCGCCTTCAACGGATGCACCACCATCATCACTACCACTACCAACCTCGCAAGGTACTTGTCTTGTAACATTCTGCTTAATAAGTTAAGGGTACCCTTTGTTTCTCTCTCTCTATATATATATATTCAGTTGTTAGACTTAGATTATACTATATTATCTGTGATTCATGAAATTATTGTCTCACCGGATATTCTGGATTTTGCAGGAATAAGCAACAAGTCAAGAAATGCTGCGATCCACTTATTGTTATTGGTGTTGTGCTTATATTTATGTACACTTCGTTAGATACCAGTTCTACTAATCCCTACCTATGTGATTTCTCGTTACACCATGGTTGTTTTTCACTAGTGAAATTCCCTCTTTGATGTTACCAAGTTGTACTCATTTTTCAATAAAATGTATCTCATCAATAAATATCCTCTTTCATTATTAGTGAGACTAAATCTTTTACTCCTCCATGAAAGGATTATTGTTCATAAATATTGCATTTCTAATATAAAGAAAAAAGTTCCATCAATAACAATCAAAGTTTCTTTCTATATTGGCCTATTCCTTGTCCAAGTCTCCTCATACATTATTTTATCCAAACCAACAAAATAATTGAATCTATATTAAATAAATTATTATTGTTTTTTCTAGTCTGCCCTTCATAATTTATCTTATCACTTTAATTAATCATTATTATTGCATGGAGTAAAGCAAAATAGTACATTATATCATACGGTAACCAACATATTAATTCAATGGTTGTTTTAATGTATGTGGATTATGATGAAATATAATTAATTCTCACACATCAAAGAATGAGATATGATGGAAGTTACAAAGAAGGAGCTTAATGGGGAAAGAAGATTTTCTGTCCTAAAATAATCATGTCTTTTTGTCTCCATCCACTAGGATTACATTAAATAATATAAATTATTACTTTATATTTTTATAATTTTTTTCTCAAATTAAATCATGCATTTTGATTGATCCGGTACACCAAAAAGGACATCAAAATGGACACCAGATCTCCATTAGCAATGGAGCATATGGCCAAGAATAGAAAGATATGGAATCTTTATTTTTTGATGACACAAGAGCAATGGTTTTTTTTACTGAAATTTGTGAAATTTAGTTATTGCACAAATAATATATCAAAGAATGAAGTAATTTGTTTGCATTCATGCCAAAACATAGATATTATTATGGTGTTTAACATTTTTCTATGTACTATATGAAAAAGTTTGCGTGAAAAGTATAAATAATAAATCAGAATAATACTCTAAACCTAGTGTAATTAAAATTGGATTAGTAGTTGATTCTGATTAATGATTGGACAAATAGATCATTAGTTGATTAGTTAACTCGGTTTATATTAAAACATATAATAAATTATATAAATTAATAATATATTGTTTAACAATTTTTTATTTCAGATATAAAAATTTATGATGACAAAGGTAT